CGTCCCCACGTGGGTCGCAATTTTTTCGTTATTTTTAAGCCCCACCCCGGCGTTTGCATGGTACCGTAATATAACCTAACGGTTGAACATGGTTTCTGGGACCTTTCCACGTGTGGCCTCATCCTCATGGTGGCAATTTGTGTCACGTGATGTTAATCGCTCTGTGTGATGTCCTGGTGGGGTTAAACTTATTTACTTATTTGGGGTCTCGTAATACAATTATTCACTCTTACTGTCGGCTATCAAATAGAGACGGTAAGGATGATTGTTATACAAAGTATCAGTCGAGCCTAAGCGCAAACATGGAAAGTATTCCCTGTGGTATGGTAAAACCAGAATGACAGTTTTTATTTTCAGGGAAGCACGGTAGGTGAATGAGAGGTCAGGCCAGTACTGTAACAAGAACACTTGAAATACAAACATGACAGCTGTTGGTGTTCTTTGCTTGCCGTAGATCTACAAGTATCACATAAGTGTACATGGTTGCATGAGTAGTTTGTGGATAAGGATGTGTAAAACCAGGACTTGACGCACAATTTGGGATGCGATATTCTTGTATGACAGAGGTCTACATTTGTTTCCAAACGAAATCTACTGATTTGGAGGATGTGTGAAATCTAGACTTGAGATAGCAGCAGTAGTAGTAGTTTATTTATCAATAGCCTGCCCTTTAGGTTATAATCGGAATATAATTTTGTTTTTTATGATATTTGATATTTATTTATCTTTTTGGCAATTTATTATTGCGTATATTTTATCTTCTTCTTCTTCTTCTTCTTCTTGGAGTTCATCGGCTGTACTTTCCTGCGGAAAGTTCTGGTTGCTTGACCACTTCTGGATTCTAGTTGTGTTCCAGAACCTGAGTGATGCATGCGCATCCGTTTGTGTGACATATAAATGGGAAACTAGGTTGATGGTAAGATGCTGGTAAGGTTGAACCAACATTCTCCATTAAAACTATATTAACTAAATCAATTTGTGTGTTGAAAATAACAGATTATTCGCTCATTTCTTTCCACAGTACAGGCCGTGTGTGAGGGTTATAGTCATGTCTACTCTTATATGTTTCCCTCTGCTTGTCTTCCCCTCCAACTTTCCCACTGTCACGATGTACTCCCGTTTTAAAACAGATTAGGTTACTTGCGTATCATTTACAGAACGTTGCATAACCAACCCCGATAGCCCCTGGCCTTTGTGTGGTTTTTCTAGGCAAATTTACTAGTTTGCTATTGCCTCTGGACGGTCGGCTTTCTTGATACCACTGTCGAAACCAACGCAAGGGGCATGGCCCGCAGCAGGGATCGAACCCGGCATCCCAACATTACGACTTAGCCACAGAGCCGACAAAACAGATTAACCGATTAAAAATTATAATTGGCTAGTTAGTATATTATAAGTGTGCTTTCCAAATAATTGTGACGAGCAGGCGGTGTTATTTGTCTATGGATATATTTAAAGGGATCTGGATTGATATTATTTTGCTTCGCGATATTAATACACATCTATATTACTGTGAAACACAGTTTAATCTTACCTAGTAATTAACCAAGCTCTATATATTTTTCCCAATGCTTGGCATGTACATGTTATGCTATCTTTGTCTGTGTTCCCATTAGTGTGATAGTAGTGATAGTAGTGGTGGTGGTGGTAGTAGTAGCAGCAGCAACAGTAGTAGAATTGGTAATTTAAATACGCTATCGTGTTCAGCCTATCTGCATAGAGTGTTTGTGTGTGTGTCAACATTAGAGTTGTGTGTGTGTGTGTGTGTGTGTGTGTGTGTGTGTGTGTGTATTGGAGGGGGTGGGGGGGGTCAACATGGAATATTTATGCCTGTCAATTAATTTTGGTTATTTAATATTGCATAATGTATTAATTGTAACATTTTGAAGGAGTATATATTGTTTAAGTTTAAAAATAGTAGTGCTTTTCTAAATTACTATGATAATCGTATTGTGTAATCTATATTTTGGAGTATTTAAAGTGATCTAGGCCGATCTAGGATACCATTCTACTAGCTTAAGATGTAGTAACACCTTATATTCAAATGTTATTCCTGTGATCTACTGTTTAATCCTTTCCCAGTTAGCGTCTCTCAAAGTGATGCGCTAAGAATTTTAACATTTATTACTTTTACCAGATACTTCTGTGCATTCGGATAAGGAAATACAATTAAACAGAATTTGTGCTGTTTGATGTTCATTTTTCTCTACGGAGCTGTAATATGGACAAGCTAAATAAACCAAGCAGTAAAAAGTAAGGTATTTGTTCTCTGCCTACATATTCTTTTCTAGGAAAGCACTGTGTGTCAATTAAGTAATCCCGGTGCACTCTTTATACCATCGTCTATTTTATTGACTATCATAGTTATTATAACTGCCAAAAAAAAAAAAAAGCCATTTCTGCATGTTTTTGCCACTTTTGCGGAATAGCCATTAGGCACGGGAATCTTTTTGCACGTGCTTTCGTTCTACAGATCTGTACAGACAGTTGTTTCATTGTTTATCAGGCAGGTGCCGTCCAACTTCGAGGAAAATGTTGATCACATCACTAGGATGATTGTAGTCAAAGTAAACCTATGTTGCTGTTTAGAACGCCTCTCAGCAAAGGAAATCTGCACCTTTGCCATTTAGAAGGAGGCTTGGGCAGTGACTATAAACTTCGTCACCCACGCATTGGAGGTGAGCAGATGAGCGCCAGAGGCTGTCTGGGCACTGCATCTATGTGGACCACCAGCTCCGAGATTCCCCATCTACTCTAGTTAGGCCGACGTAGGTCATTATTCAGGACGCACGGCGTGAACATGCGGTAGGAGTCTTGCACGAGAGTCTATAAATCTAGCCCAGAGAATGTTGGCACCAAAGATGAAATACTGGGTATCCAATTATACACCGATCAACGGACTTTACTTTCCCTTACGTCTGTTTATCTCTTTATGGTGTCCACCATTTTATCTCTTTATGTTGCCCGTCAATCTACTTCTTGATCTTCCCCCCCCCCACCTCTCCAGTATACTTCTTGAAGCTGTCCACCAGTCTACCTCTTAATGTTGCCCCTCAGTCCACTACCTAATGTTTTTCACTCGCGTATAGCTATTTCCTTCTATTTTCACACTTCCGCTCTATTTTCTTTTCTAACTAGTATGTTGCTAAACAAGTGTTTTACGCAGAAAATGACACGACAGGAAGGGATGATTCACTGTCAGATAAAAAAAAAAAAAATAACGGGAAAAAAAGGGGGAAAGGGAGGGAAGGGGCAATGCTTTGGGTGTATTTAGATTTCTGTCAGTGTGAAACATCATAGGATTGTACTGACAAATTTCATTTGTTCCTACACATGGACGAAACTTGTACAGATTTTAAAAATGACAATAATTAAAATACTATTAAATGTCATTTTATGATGTGATGTTAGCCCTTTTCGCCTCCTCCTTCTTCTTCGTTCTCCTCTTCTCCACATCTTTCTCCCCTCCTCTTCTTACCCCTGCTGTGGCTCTTCCTCCTCTTCTTGCACACCTTCCCCTTTAAATACTATCAAATGTAGTTTTTAGGTAAGGTGTTTGCTATCTTTCTCCTCCTCCTTCATTGTATTTTCTTCCAATGTCATCATCATCAGTTCTCGTTATGCCTAGAGGCACATGAGGCTTCAGAGAAGACTTTCCATGCTTTCCTGTCCTGTGCATTCTTCAGTGCAGTTTTCCATGTCAAAGATGCCGCACTCAGGTCTCTTTCCATCGTTCTTCTCCATGTTGTTTTTGGACGCCCCTGTTTTCTCTTTCCCTCTGGTGTCCATGTGAGAGCTGTTTTGGTAGGTATATCAGAATTCATTCTCATAACGTGGCCAAGCCATTTCCATCTTTTCTTGGTAATCATACTGTCTAAAGTTTCTTGGTTTGTGACTTGAAGTAGTTTAGTGTTTGAGATTGTATCTGGTCAGAAAATTTTGTTAATTCTACGTAGACATGTGTGGTGGACAGCTTAAGTCCATCTTCGTTCATCTGCAGTAATTGTTGGATTTCAAGATTTGCCCCATCCTTCCAAAAGCAGCTCTAGCTTTGTTCAGACGTGACTGTATGTCCTCTTCGGTCCCTCCCGGTAGGGACACCACACTGCCAAGATATGTGAAATGTTCTACATTTTCAAGAGTTTTCTTCCAATGTAAAGGCGACAAAATCTCCTGGTCACTCCCTGTCGCACCATTCTCTCCAACCCATAATGATCTTTTCAGAATCTTCACTTGCTTCCATGTGGCATTGACCACACCTAGCTCTTTGTGCATCAGGTCATCACCCAGTGATGCAGCACCAGCCAGTCTGTCTGTTCATTTCCCATCACACTTTCATACCCTCTAGAAAATATCAAAAAGACGCTATCAGAGACCTTGACGATATGCTCGCCACTCTGAACGAAGTATGCCTTTCTCAACCTTTCTCAGCATGCTTCAAGACTTTTGCAATCAGAACACTTGTGTGCAGTTGGTTCTCAAGCCAGCGAAACATTGTAAAATTGTGCACTATAATTTAAAGTCTTGAACTGTAAACAAATGAAACAGATTTGAGACTCCATGAACATGCTTCAGAAAATCGCAACAAGCAGCCTGCTCTCTGAATAGGTAGGGAGCATTTAGAAGTTACATTTAACCTCCCTCCCCTGGATCTACACAGCCAGGCATATCACAGTAAGGGACAATGAACGAGCGGACTAGTTGGCAAACATTGCAGCACTGCACGCGAAAAGATACATGGCCAGAGCAGAAAATTCAACGCTATACGGGCTAGACCGGTAGATAGCAACGATTCTCTGACGCTTACACGACTGCATAAACTCGGGGTTAAGTCTGGTGAAGCACGCCGGGTCATCCTGGAGGTAAAGATGAGACATTATAATGAACTTCTCATGGAACCAGTTAGTAGATTTAGCTTGGGGTGCTCCATCGGGAGACTGAGCACGAATGGGATACCCGTTGTGCAGTGACGTCAAATATGGTAACAAAATACATTTCAGATGGTTTCACCCAAACATCACCGGTCGCCAGGCCGAGAAACTTCTGATGGACAAGGGTCAAGACTGGAGCTTCCTTGTACGACCTAGCAGCACCAAGGATGCATATACCATTTCAGTCAGGTAAGACGTGGCATGGCGTTAGCTGACTGTCTTGTCCGTGCAGCGCGTCTTGTGTGACCAGCTGCTGTCTGTGTGCTCGAAGCAACAAAAGGTATATATTGCTATATCTAGTACAGTTTGTTTGAGCACGCTAACGAAATCTGGCTGGGTATTTTAACAATAACAACTAGCAAACTATATGAAGGTTTTCACTAGCGAAAGCCACCCTATAAATTGTAATTACTACATCCTAAATAGAGGTGGAAGACTTTGAGAATTATGTGGATGATTTTACTTTTTGATAATTATTTAGTAAGGTAACATTTTTTCGCATTTTAACGTTTTAAAACAATTTAGATTGCCCAGTTTGCCTGTTATAGGAATTGTAAACATTCATCTCTAACACCATACAGTGAGGCATCAGATAAATATATCTTTGTGTGTGTGCGCACGCATGTGTGTGTGTGTGCACGCGCGCGCGAGAGAGAGAGAGAGAGAGAGACTTGTTTACTCACTGTCCAGGAAACACAACAATATGTTGAAAATAAGTCCGTTTAACACTCAAGGACAGGGACGAGGCGTGCATATAACGATTCTAATTGCCACTCACACCTTCCCTTGCCAAAGTAAAACTATTTCACTATTTATTGTTACTGTTACTAATTATTACAAATACTCCACTCGGTTTACGTCTCAAAGAAAGCAAAATAACACTCGCTGCACGATTACGCCCCAATGCAGAAACTGTAACGTGTGAAAGCTACCAGTTAGGAGTACGACAGGGCTGACTGCGCCAGCATATTCTCAACAGCAGTGCGACGAGGAGGAACATATCATGTGACACCCTTTTTAGTGTAATCGTTACCTGCTAACGCTTACATATACAAATTGATTTAATCTCGCTACTGCTCAATTTTTTTTTTGTCTGGGGGGGGGGGGAGGGGGTGTCTAATCCTCAGTTGACTGGTTGATACTGAGTAGATAATTAATAAAATTTCAGACACAATGACGAAGTCACACACATAAAAATTCAGAACACTGGAGATTCGTACGACCTGTGTGGTGAAGAAACGTTTGCCACTCTTTCGGAGCTAGTCCAGTACTATATGGAGAATCAGGATCAACTGAAGGAGAAGAACGGCGCACCCATCAAACTGAAGTATCCTTTAGCTTCTGACGATCCAACACCAGAAAGGTAAGTAAAAGATCTTGTCCCACGCTTTCATGTATATTGGACATATAGTGCAAGACCTATATTGTATAGACCAATCGACACTCAGTGGATGATGTGGTTAGCCTCATCCCTGCCGCATTTACTTCCCAGGACTTTACCTGGTACCTGTTTAATGCTGGGTCCCCATGGAAGCCACAGTTATTTCTGAGAAATGTAAAAAAAAAAAAAAAAAAACGTGCGGCTCCGTTCGGATTTGAACACCACGAAAAGGCAATTGCTGTAAATATGTTTTCTGCGTTTTTTTAAAATACTGCTACTATTTGGGTTTCTTAATTAAGGTAACAGCAGTCCCATGGCTGATTATGTCTTTAGGGTTTGACTTGTTGGGCCTTTAATATATTCTAGGCCACGATATATAAGGTGGGTAGCCACTTTCATTCCTCGTCGACTTCCTTCCATGGGCAACATCCGGGAAATTCTTGAAACTATCTGTTATCAACCTATTCACAAGGTTAATGTCGGGAGACAATCTACATCCATTAGGATACCAACAAAAACAAAACAAAATATTAAAAACATTTTTTTTTAAGAAATCGAAAAGGGGAAAAGTTTGATGCAGAGAGAGGCATTGGAGACAAAGGGAAAATATGCTATTGTCATCTTTCCGTAGAGGACTGATTGACTGCCTGTTTTGCTATTCGATTCGATTTTGAGGGGGGGGGGGGAATGCGACCACATTGGTCATAATAACCGTTTGCCCTCGCTAAGCTGTTGTTTAAGGTACACATCCGTGCGACTATAAAAAGCAGCCTCCTAAACGTCACTTTAAGAGGGCAAACACCAGATACCATGTTCAACCTCTAAGCAAATTATAGTTAGGACACCCGTAACAGCAACATCAAACGCGAGGGTGACTGGAAATTTTCTGCATCGGGTACCACATATCCCTGCGATGCCACTGCCTGCAGTCTTGCTCAGGTGATGACAAGTGTGGCATAGAGGACTACCTGTATCCAAAATGAGGCAAAAGGAAGTGGATGGACACGATGAACAACGTCACACACTGTTAAGGTAAGGAAAAACAAATTCCATTGTCTTATGATCTATACATTTGTCCTCTGTCTTGTGCGATTTTATACCAATACAAATAACCAAGGGGTCTGGCCGACCATCAACACTCGGGGGAAGAATGAGACGATATACAATCAGACGTTTAGTGGTACCATCGGAACTGGAACTCTTCGCTTGCTGCTGAAGATAGGGACTGAACACTAATATGAGTGTCCCGAGTGCTGTGATGTCGATTCCTAATTCAACAATTCAACCAATACAAATAGTTATTTAATCTCGTCAGGGCAGAAAGTAGACCAAAGAGTGCTAAATGCAGTGGCCACAGCTGCACGACGTTTACTTAAGGAAGAAAATTATCACTTCTTATTGACTAGTCTGTCAGTTGATTTTTATTTCTTTCACTTGTCATCTACAAGTATCAACCAATCCACAGAATGTATTTAGCCTTGTCCCTGATTTTTATTTTTTTTATTTCGTAATCCCCTCTCAAGAGAAACTTCTGCTTGCAAGCATTTTAGTTGTCATTATCTGTCAGGACGGGAAGCATCCCGACCTTATCTGGACACAGTGACACACGCCACACAGCATGAACTATCAAAAGAGAATTGTCTAGTTTGTCCTATGATTTATATTACTTTCCTTTGTCTTCTATGAGTGTAAAAAAATCCGCATCAATACATTTCACATTGTCACAGATGGTTCCAGGGGTCTCCGTGCCGAAGTGGTCAAGTCATTTGCCTAGCGCTCTGAAGGTCTTGGGTTCGTTTCACGGCGTCGCCGTTTAGTTCACGAGTACAATTTTTACTGAGATCCCTGGAAATCGTCGCCGTAGCTAGGAAGGTCGTGCTCTGTGTGACGCTATCGGGAGGCAGCTGGCTGTTCTGCGGAGAAAGACTGGACCATATGGGATAAAATCCGGTGCAATTAAGTCGATCCTGTTACTCTTACCTTTACCGTTACCTTTACAGATGGTTCCACAGTTGTCTGACAGGGCGGGAAGCAGACCGACTGTTGCTGGACAAGGGAAAGAACTGCAGTTTCCTGGTTCGACAGAGCAGGAGCAAGCCGGGCGACTTCGTCATCTCTGTCCGATCTGCTGAAGACAGGATTTCTCATGTCAAGATTCGAAGCCAGGTAAGAATTAGACCGCACATTTTATGTTGACAGCCCAATATAAAAAACTTTTACATAGTCGAGGCACTTCTACTCTCGCTATAGCCTATGGGTTTGCAGTTTGTCAGAGAGATCACCAAACTTCGGCTCTCCTTGGAATACCGCCTTGGTTGCAGTGCAAATACGGACCGTACAGAGGGAACGAAACAAATGACGTACTTACCTATCATCATGCGGTTGCGTATACGGTTGCGTAGTCATCATACGGTTGAGTAGGGTGTAGGGTTTGGGTTAGCGTTAGGGGTAAGGTTAGAGTTAAATGTGAAAATGTTGACGTAGGAGTTCCAAATAATGACCGACAATGTGATGCTTGTGGGAGTGGCGCCACTGGAATTCTCCTAAATATGACGGTAATAGCGTGCGGCTGGTGCCCAATTGATGGCGAATTGTCCTTAAAAAAAAAGTGACTAAAAGTGTCACATCTAACCCTAACTCTACCCCTAACCCTTTCTATGTCAGTAGCAGCTTTCTTTTAGGCACTGTTTCATTCCAGTCGTCTTTCAGTCAGACAGAGATTGTCGGATGTTGTCTTCCCAGTCAACCCTGGGTCATCTTGGAAGTTTGATTCTCTAGTTCTTGGCCTCCAATGTCAGATGGTCTGTCTTAGTGGCCGATTCTGAGAATCCATTCTGCATACATCTCCAAACCATCCATATTGTGACTGATCCACTCCAGTTTTTTTTTATAAGGCCAGGATTTAATGATCATGACGTATCATCGTCTGGTTGCTAACTTTGTTTCAAAAGGTACTCAGTGCACTAAAAATTATGACAGCGATTGACATGGAGCAAACATTTCTGTTCAGTGTACCAGCACTTGATTATTTCGATGATGGATATTATGGGCTGTATCAAAGAGTCAACTGGTGAAGCTTGAAAACATACAACATGAAGCCATGCCTGATGAAACATAGGGCTAACTTCCGAATAATGGTCCCAAATTATCGAGGCCGAAAATATACCCAAACAGGGCCTCACTCACATGTATATAGCGAACTTCCGGCGACTACCCCCACGGCCGAGAGTTATCTCCCACGCTACTACGTGCGGCGTAGATTTAAGCTAAACTAGATGGCTGGGACTCTTGAGCTGCAGCTACCGCATCTCCTGCAGCTTCCTTCATTTTATTTGCTCGTGAGTCCCAGCCATCTAGTTTAGCCCCACTCCACGCTGCTACATGCGGTGTGGGAGATACTCTCGGCGGTGGCGGAAGTCCGTAATTTACATCTGACTGAGGCCCTGTTAGGGTACATTTTTGGCCTCGATAATTTGGGACCGTTATTTTAAAGATAGCCAAACATAGATACCCCAGAAGTCTGTATGTGAAACATTCTTGCAGTGCCTACTGTTGCAGACAGAGTCGTGTAAGGTTCTGTTCACACTAGACCAGGCCTGCCCAGCAAACACTGCAGAATCAGAAATTCAACAAATGATTCTCCATAATGCACACCAAGGTGATGTGATTATCTGGTCAGATGGCTCTGTTTGAAGAGACAGAAGAAGTGCATGGTGGCTGATTGAGAAAGCTAATGGTTGAGGCTTGGTGCAGCAAAGTCTGGCATATGATACTACAAGATCTAGTTTGAGAATAGAGGAGAAGGCAGTCACAACAGCTTACCAAGTTGATTCAAGAACCAACATCACAGCACTAGTAGGGTGTCTCTGGTACATCCCAGAAGGACCTACACAGCTGCATACTTTATGTGCTCTAGTTCAACTAGTCGAATCTTTGAGACAGTGAGCTCATCCATAATCAGTCACTGAGATGATCAAGTGCAAATACAGTGTAAAAGCATTCTATGTCTTAATGTGCATTGAGTCTCTATTAACATCTTGTCACAGTTGTTTCCATATGGTCCTTGAAGGATGGGCTCCTGTCAAATGTGATTCCCAGAAACTTCAGTTTGCCCTGTCTGTTGATGTTTCTACTGTCTGTCTTGAGACTTGGGACATCAGCTGTAATAATCCTGTTGTCTAGAGAAAACCGCAGAACATATGCTTTTTCAGGGTGGACAACAGCACTCATTTCTGTACACCAGTCAGTCACTTGTCTACTGTCGCCTGTAGCTCCTGGGCTGTTTGTTCCCTATTTCTCCCCTGATTATAAGTAAGATTATCATCTGCTATGATACAGAAGTTCAAGCCGTCAAAATAGCAGCAGAGAAGCTGTTAAATATATGTCATATTTCACAACCCGTAGTATTTCTGACAGATGCAAGAGCGGTGCTTCAGGCTCTCCAATCTGGAAAACTACCTGGTATACGAACACTACTCTCCAAACTAGGCAGCCAGTGTAAGGTAACTATGCAATGGATACCATCCCACTGTGGAGTTCCTGGAAATGAAAGAGCTGATAAACTAGCTAGGGAAGGTGCAAATGAAGAACAACCTGGCATACCAGTCTTTTATCAAAAACAAAACAAAAAAAGAGAATAATCAAATCAATCAGAAAGCCACCAAAACCGGCACAAGATGATTACCATTTTATGAACAGACCAGAGCAAGTTATTATTCTACGCCTTAGAACAGGACACAATCGACTTCGCTGGCACGTGTACACAAAATGTACAATCTGCGAATCAGCCATATGCACATGTGGACTGGCACCTGAGACAGAAGTCATGTCCTCCAAGACTGTCCCAAATACAACATATCAAGGCAAAACTTTTCGCCAAGAGAAACATCGGTGCAAGTCAAACTTAACGGGTCGCTGAGTGAATTACAAAAGACAGTGAAGTTCATACTAGAGACAACATTGCAGATATAGATATTCTGTTTCAAGCTAACGAAAGAAGAAGAAGAATATCATCTGCAAATGTCAGAATCCTTCTGACGCTTGGGGGGCTTCTAGGCTTGCAGTCTTGCTCGTATACATGTTAAAGAGCATAGATGTCGGGAATGATGTCACAGGACGCACCAGGATAGGTGCTGCTTTTACACGACCTTCATTTTTGTTTGTACAACAAAAATTTTACATCAATTGAGATATGTGTAAGTACAGTTGCCGATATGCCAATGAACTTTGTAATACCGTAGGCATACATCCATATCAGGGTGGATGATTCGGTCCTACCTGCCACTTTGCTGATCTAACTTACTACAGACAGCAATGCTTACAGAATTTGGCGATGATGGAGAGCCGCGAATGAAGAAATAACTTTCTGCTGGCTTGATAACCAGCTGCATGCTCTTCACTGGTTGCTGAAGATGAGGATGGAGCACTTATGGAAATGCCGTAATGTCAGTTCTTAGCTCAGCATTCAGCTTCTTTTTTTCTTCTTCTTCTTCTTCTTATTATTATTATTTTAATTATTATTGAATTTTGAGGACATATTAATACTTAATAGTCATCGCTATAGTCATTAAGAGAGTCCTAAGAATACCTTCTTATGACACTAAACAGGACATCTGTGATTTGTCTTCTTGGACTGATAACCCGAATGTGGCTCTTCAGGTCACTTAGATGACAAACCTTCAGACAGCGATCTGAGTTATTAAACAGCAAACATACGTCATTTACATGTGCACAATAATCCACTTGCAAGCACAAAGGTGGTAGATTTGAGGGACCCCTCATAACCTGTTTGCTTGAATTGTTTAAAGAGTTCTTTGATTTTGTTTTGAATCCAAGAAAATCACTCCAGTTTTCTGCATCATCTTTCAGAAGCCTCAATTTTATTATCCCTCTGTTGTTTTTGCATTTACAGAATGGCAAGTATGATGTTGGTGGTGGTGAAGTGTTTGACTCTCTTTCTCAACTGGTGGAGCATTACAAGAAAAGTCCAATGGTGGATACAAGTGGGACAGTTGTCTACATAAAACATGTAAGTTTTACTGGCATGCTTTTCTTCCATTGTCTTTTCCTCATAGTTTTTAAGATTGCTCTGGAAACTTCTGCAACAGTCATTACATCAGTCGATCATTTGTTTTCCAAACAAGTCTTCATACTTAGTGGCTAGATGCTCACCTATAGGCTTAAATGTCTTAGGTTTGAATCCTATTGAGGCATATGTTTTTTTCTTTCCAAACTGACCTAGGCTACCATGTCAGCTCAGCATAAAACCAGGTAATATCCTGGGAAGTATAGGTGCACAGCATGATGATGATCATTAGGGGTTGTCTAAAGAGTAACAGAGTTTTGTGCTTTGTGCAACACTCATTGGACATCCGGTTTGTTGAAATAGAGAACATTAATCTTGGTGATATTACACACCAAAATGTGGTCATACACCTATTTAAACGGTAATATAGATACAAATGGGTAGATTGACAGATGTTTTAAATACAAATACAAAAAGTAAGAGGAGTTTTCATAGCATTCGGCATTTGTGAAAGTCACAGGAAATTAAAACTAATACTGAATTTAATATATTTACTCTAATGTCAAATCAGTGCTACTATATGGAGTGGAAACATGGAGAACAACTAAAACAGTTACTAACAAACCACATTCATTAACTGGTGCTTGCGCATAATAAGAGAGACTTAAATGGTATGATAGAATCAATAATGTTGAACTACAGAAGTAAAAAAAATTCAGTGAATCAAAAGATGAAGAAATTATGCTGGCATTAGGACACACATTGAGAAACCATGAGAACAGTATAACTAGAAGAGCTTTATACTGGAACCCACAGGGGCATAGAAATAAAGACAGACCAAAAACACATTGAGACTTAGCTAAAGAGGGAAATTACAAAGATAGGGAAGACATGAGGTGAGCTGAATGCAATAACAAAAGATAGGACGACTTGGCTTGAGTTGATTGAAGCCCTGTACTCCACTAGGGGGAAAGAGGGCAGAAGAAAATTAAAACAGCAGTAGAATAAGTAGTTACCTTTCAGTATATTTGATTTTGTATTTAATTTAGAAGGACTCATTTATTTCTCTATATCCTCTTCATGTCACTGTTGACACATAAGGCATTCACAAGAGATTTCCATTGCTGCCGGTCTGCTACTTTTCTGCCCATGGTATCCCATGTCAGTTTACATTCCTTCATTTCCCGTTCTATTTTTCTTCTCCAGGACTCCTTTATTTGCTTCAGTATATTAAATTTTTGCTAAAGTATGCACCTGACAAGATATAGTGAAATGTGCCAGGCAACGAATTGTGCAATCTATTGTTTATATCTTCTATGTTCTTATGTCTTTAATGTCATCAGTCCATCTTCTTGAATGCCCGCCATGCTCTCATACAATCTCTTCCTAAATATAAACCTGTATTGGTAACCAGGATTGATGTATTCTAATGATGTGCCCAAATGATATCTTCCTTTTTCTTTTATTAACAGCCACTAAACAACAGCCGAATGACAGCATCATCTGTCAAGAAAAGGATTCATGAGTTGCAGACAGAAGATAATGTTAGCGTGAAAGCAAATAGCACTGTCAACGAGGGCTTCTGGGGTGAATTTCATGTATGTGCATTTTTTAATGTGATATACTTCAATTTGTGGTCAGCTGTCTACAGTTTTGGTGGGGTTTTTTTTGGTTTTATTTTTGTGTTTAAAAAAAAAATGTTTAAACTTATCTTATTGATTAGTATTCGTAACTATATCTGTCCATGACCTTCTGTTTTATGTATTGCCAATCTTTCTTCAGCTGTAAACTGTAGTGGAAAGTTCTGGATTTTCATTCACCTCTGGACTCTAGTGTTGTTCAAGAACATGAGTTTTTGCCTCCACATCTATTTTACAGATCTGGCTAATTTGTAAGTAGACTGTAAGCTTCTTGCCACTCAGGCAGGTGCACTCCAGCTTTAAAGGATATACACCCAACTAGTCAAATTGTATGACATGCTTGTTGGAGGTGGGGGGGAGCAGTGGCTCTGTTCTCCCCTCCCCCTCTTCCCTATGGGGCCTTGGAACCTACGCTGGGAGTATTGCCAGTTATTTCTGATGAAGATGTTCCTCCATTCCATAACCTCAAACTGTCAAACATCATCTCTCTTGGTCTCCCTGTTTCCCCTTTTCGTGTTAATACATCTTTCTCCAGTTTTCCTCTTCTCATGATGTGTCCAAAGAATGTGAGAAAAGACATCAGATCAGGAGAAGTAAAGTCCCTATAGGATCTTCTGCCATCATGGACACGTGACTTGAAGTATCAGTCGTCTCTATGTCAGTCAGTTTCTTTAAAGACATTTTCATTACTCTTTTTTTATTAGTCCAGTGTATTCTCATGCTTCATCTTTAAAACCACATCTCGGATGCTTCTAAATAATTCTCCACTAATCATTCAACTGTTCATGAGCTAAGCTGAGATATCTGCACTCTTGTGCCCAACACATCCGATTTCAACAGGTCCTTAATTAGTTGCATCATGCCCTGGAACCCACACGGGGATCAGTGAAGCCAGTCCTCTTCTATTAATGACCTTTTTAATTTATGAATCAATCTTTTTGCATTTAGCATGTTGATTTTGGTCACAGACATGGGGGAAAGTTAACGCTGTTGTGCTGTGTATATACATGTATAAATATATCCTCGTACCTCACCTCTAGTTACTATAACCTTCCATCCTTTTCAGGTTGAAACTTTTCGTTGTTTGAAGCCCTACTCTGGCTCTTGCCAGCGGCCGCAATAAATATGGCCATAAATATTGCCTAAAGGCTGAAGGCGGTTTTTGGGACCTCTCCACGGTGATCCTCACCCACATGGTAGCACATTGTGTCATCGGGTGTTTATCGCTTGTGTGATGTCTTGGTGGGGTAGAAAGTCAGTCAGTCACCTCTAGTGCCAGCAGGCTTTTTGCTGATTTGATGGCTCCTCTTGCAAGACTCCTGCCCGTCATGTGTTATGGATAATGACTCATATAGGCCTTAACAGAGCTATCAGGGGATCTCAGAATTGGTATCTCAAAGAGATACAATGTCCAGTTACCCTCTGGCTCTCATCAGCCCGCCCCTAAGGCATGGGTAATAAGGTACAAAGAAAACTCATTTGGAACGGGTGAAACACGGTGGCTGAATATCCTACTAAATGACAAACTATGGTTCAAATGTCTGTTGATCAAAAGTCTTCATGAATTGCTGATTAGGCTCAAAATGTCCGTCATCCAAATGTCCTACGGCATAATAGCACAAGTTTAGATGGCTGACCATCGAATGTCCTGCTGCATGACAGGACAGTTTTAAATATTCACTATCATTGACCTACTCATCTGAGTGTCGGGACTAAAAGTTCAATCGCCAAATTGTTCTACAGATTGTCAAACAGATGACTGACAGTAAATTGTCCTATTGATTGATTGACAGAAAGGTTCAAATGTCTACCACACTCGTTAAAGTATCGAGACCAGAAGGAGAAGCCTTGCATGATGCATGCTTTCTTGTACAGTCGTGCTGTTCCATTGCAGCAGCTTTAAAGATGTTTGTTATGCTGAAGAAGACTATTTCCATTTGTGTGGTCATCAAAGTCTCAGACCCTGTTGATCACCCAAGGGTGCAGACTATGACGAGTCTCATGATTATACTCAACATAACGGATGTGACGTTAAGCAGTCATGTGCAGGACATGTCGATTCCTTGGGTGAATCCAAGGCTATGCATTTATGGAGTTCTCCTTTGCATGGTGGGGAATGCCTATAATCTGCCCTGCCTTCACTTGAGGATCGACTAGGCTACACGGGCTTGCACTGGATTAGTTCTCCAGGTCAGCACCCATAAATAATGGGGGAAAAGGACACCAAACAAGTAGAGCTGTGTTGTGTCCCCCGAAATGAACCGGCAACGCAAAGTAGGTGAAGTAATGCCTGATGAAGTCAGATATGTCAGCCAAAAGGCGCATATGTGGCAAATATACTGTAAACAGACACAACACAATTGCATCACTCGGATGCACGATAATGAAAAAGAGGAAGAATTTGTATGCATACGACTCATAAGATAATTTTGAATAACAAATTTTGTGTAAATCTAAGCAGCAGTTACAACAGGCAGAATTTATTGGTGAACGATTCTCCAGAGAACAAGGAAACACACCAGAAAACAAGGCAAAGAACAGATACAAGAATATCCTTCCATGTAAGTGCTTCTGGTGATTTTTGTTTATTCTAGGAATTGCTCTTGCTGACATTCTGCAGGGCTAGATAATATTTTAGGAAAAAATGCATTAAATTAGCATGTGAAGAGAGTGAGACACATACTTTTTTTTAGATGAAGAGAGTGGAAAACAGGCTTACATCAATTTGCTGATAGTATAAAACAGACATGCTGAGCTAAGAAATAGAAAACAGACACATTGAGCTAAAGACAGTAGAAAACAGACTTATGTTGAGCTAAAGAATTTGGAAAACAAGCTTATATTGAGCTAAAAAGAATGGAAAAACATACTTATTTTAAGCTAAAGACAGTGGAAAACAGACTTATATGGAGCTAAATCAAGTGGAAAACAAATTTAGGTTGAGGTGAAGAGAGAGGAAAACAGAGTTATGTTTTTCTTCATTTTACACTTAGTACTCTTGTGCCTTCTTTGAGAATTGGGAAAAATCTAGTAATCTTGTCTGCCTGCATATTATCTATCCACAATGTTCTTGGTCTGCCTTATTTCAGGGCTATTCAACTGGCGGCCCATGGGCCAGATCTGACTTGAGGAGGCCTAGCAAGTGGCCCCCTGGATCATTGCCACTTATATTGAATTTGTGATATTTCTATGCTGGAGTTCAGGTCTCTGGCCCGTGACAATCTCCATTTCCAACCTTTTGGCCCCAGAGTAAACTTCGTTGAATAGCTCAGCTGCATATTATCTCTCCACCTTCTTTCTTGGTCTGCCTGTATCATTTTCATATACTATGTTTTTAAATATCTTATCCTTACCCATACAGTCCACTAGGATGGTGTAAATGTTACAAGTGCCCTAATTGTAACTTTTTAAGAGGTTGAACAGTGTGTCTGATAATTGCGCCATTGGATTGTTATCCATGATCTGGCTCTTGAAGTAACAGGAATGACTAAACCTTCAGGTAGCTACCTGGAGAAGAAACAGGCAGCCCACCCCCCCCCCCCCCTTTCCAACCCTGTGACCTCCTCTGTATCCCCATTTATGTTTTAAATGTTGTTTAAATTGTCACTTTTTTTTTGTAAATTTAATATCTGATTGTTTCATGCAGACGATTACACAAGAGTTGTCTTGGCTGATGGCGATGAAACGCTTGGCACAGACTACATCAATGCTAATCACATCACATGGGTAGGTTGCACATCACATAATGTGGTTAAGTTACATATCACATGAGTAGGTTGCACATAACATCACATGGGTAGGTTGCACATCACATCACATGGGTAGGTTACACATCACATGGGTAGGTCACACATCACATGGGTAGGTTGCACATCACATGGGTAGGTTGCACATTACATGGGTAGGTTGAACATTATATGGGTAGGTTGCACATCACATGGGTAGGTCGCACATCACAGGGTAGGTTGCACATCACATCACATGGGTAGGTTGCACATCACATCACATGGGCAGGTTGCACATCACATCACATGGGCAGGTTGCACATCACATCACATGGGTAGGTTGCACATTACATGGGTAGGTTGCACATCACACTTACTGACTTTGTTGTTCCACTTCTTTCCTCGGCTGTTGAAGGCTTATTTGAGAGTGTCTGCAGGGAAATATGAGGGAAAGTCAATAAGTCACAAATGGTTGTTTTAAAGAGATAACAACTTTAAAACCATTTATTTTTACACATACACTGTCTCTTTAGTTTTCAACGTAATTTCCAACAACATTGATGAACTTGTCCGATCATTTTATCAGTCCTCCCAAACCTGCTGCATAGAACTAAGTGTTCTGTTTTCTAATCCACATTTTCATTGTCTGGGTACCCACCTTGAGCATACTTTCTTTAATTTCAATAGAGCATGCATTATATTGTATGCTGAACCATGTGAGCACCCTATTGCAGTTGCTATAGAGTCAACCGTTACTCGTCTGTCACCTCCAGTCATCTCCTCCACCTGCGGTACGGATGTGTCTGTTGCAGTCTTAACAGGACCACCAGATCAGATTTCATCAACAATCTTAGAGCGTCCTTGAGAAAATCTTTTTACCCAGTAATGCACTGCTTTACAAGGTCAGCATAAACAGGAAGCACTTTATGAATGTCCTTTCCTGGGAGTCCTTTTGTCCAAAAAAACGTGCATCAGCACTTTATTCTTTGAGGGTACACTCCGTAAGTACGGTCGCCATTTTGTTTCTCTATTGCGAATGCGCATGAGACATAAAGTTCGATATTGCTGTCACCTAATGACACCTTTAGAAGCCACCAACTACATTTTCTGCCATCCCATAACCATGTGTGACCTACTTATTGACTTCCCTTTGTACATTCTGAATTTTTCTTTCTATATCTCCATTTTTCACTTTAAAAAAATCTCTAGTAGCTAAAACCTGTTTTCATGTGTGACATAAGGAGAGCTTTCCTGTGTTTTTCTAGGGTCTATAAAAGAAGCAAAGAGTAGTAACACTAACCTATCATGACACTAACCTATCATGAATGTCTTTAGATGGGAATAAGGAGGGTTGGCACAAGCCTGACTGCCTTATCCTATAAATAGAACTTTAACTACCATATCCAATTAATTATCACTAGGTAGGTGTACAAACAAGTTTTCTTAAGTTGGCCAAGCATCTGTTTTCCATTGATAAATTAAAGAAGAGGAAGAAGAATACACTGATTTTGAATTGTTAAAGATAGCCACAAATCCCCATGTGGGTTCCGGGGGGGGGGGGGGAGGGCCTCATGTTTGGGGAAGAAGAAAAGGCAAACTTCTCCTTAACAAACAGGTCATAAAAGATGACTAATTGGATTTGCTGAAATTGGATGTGTTGGGCCGAATAGAGCAGATCTCATAACCTAGATGTAAACCTTGTGGAGGTCAAAAGAAATTATAACCTTACAATTTTTAATTCTAACGTCAAATCAGTACTGTTGTATGGTGTGGAAACATGGAGAAGAACTAAAGCAGTTACTAATAAACTACAAAACATTCATTAACTGGTGCCTGCTCAGAACAGAGGGAATTAAATGGTAGAATCACTAAATTAGAATCACTAATGTAGAGCTTTGGGAGAGAACTAAACAAGTTTCAGTGGATTGAACACAATGTGAGAAAAACTGAGAACAGTATTACTAGAATGTCTTTGCACTGTAACTCACGCGGGCACAGAAATAAAGTAAGACCCCCCCCCCCCCCACCCCCCACACCCCCCAAAAAAAAGATGGAGAAGGGAGCTAGAGAGTGAAGTTGAAATGATGGGAGGACATGGGGAGAGCTGTGTGCGATAGCGAAGAATAGAATGACTTGGCCTGAGTTGGTTGAATGCTTATGCTCCACTGGGGGTTAGAAATGCAGAAAAAGAGGTTAGTTAGGAGGGTAAGCAAAAGTTCTAGCTATTTGTGACCAAGTGTACAAAGGAGTTTCATACATTAGCTGAATGTTTATGTTCAATTAAGTAATATAAGGCTGTAGATGAAGACGAATCATGGAACGTAAGTTAAATGCATTCCAAAACAAATGTCTGAGAAAAATGATCCCAAAAAAATGTGACGAATTTAAAAGGAGTTAAGAAATCAGAGAAATGTCTGGGCAACCACTAGTATCAACAGTTATAAGAGAAGATGGAACTATATTAAACACGTCCTGAGAAGAAACCAGAAGAGAATCACCAAACAGCCATTAAAATGGGAAATAAAGGGATTAAGGAGGTGAGGACGCCCAGAAGAAACCCTAAGATGAATGTTCATGAGAGAGGCCAAAGCTGCTGGACTCAATTCCATCCATGATATTGAACTGATTGCACAGGATAGAACAGAATGGAGGAATAGACTGTGATCCTTATATAACATACAATGGCACAACAGGATACTGAATGAATGGATGAAAGTGGAAGAATACAAAGATTTTAAGTGATCAGAATTAACCGCAAATAGTTATTCTTTTCAGACAAATGTTAACTCTCTTCTTAGTTTAGCAGTTAATTTAAGGTTTCTTCGCCTTCTGTGTCGACTACTAAAAGGACTGTTGGCATGTTCCATTGTGGTTTGCAACTACGCTGCAGCCTCTCACATTTCAGCCCAGCACATATGATTTGAATAGTCTTAATTGTCTTTTATATTTTTTAATCACACTCATTGTCACCGTAGATTGGGAATTCACTTGCATTCTCTGTTCTCCAATGCAGCAGGTACCCCAAGCTACCTTTACTCATTGTTCCCATAAGAAATTGGTTATATCTCCTGTCTTGACCTTGAAGATGGCGAGGGGGGGGGGGGGGGGGGGGATGGTTCACCAGACTTTACTCCCAGGTTATTGAATCTGGTTAACGTTTGCGACTCATCATTTTCCACCACCAGTCTAGCCCCTACAGGTTTGTTGATATCAGCTCTGTCGATACTTCTGCCCCACATGCAACCAGGCATTACTTGCCGACTGGTCCGCTCGTTCATTTCACCTTACTCTGGCATGCCCAGGTGTATGATCCAGGTGGAGAGAGGTTAAGTTTGACTTCCTAAAGCTGTCTATCCATACAGAGCAGAGGCTTCCTGTTGCGATTGAAGCACATTAAATAAATTGCCTTGTAAGACACGCTTCTCAAGTGGAAGTCCCCCCTTCCCCCACTTTCCTCCCCATACACCCACACAGGAAAATGTAAGGTTATTATTGGAAGATTGTTTATTGGATCCTTTGACAAAAAATATCTGAACTTGCTTGTTGGTGGATCCTCTTACAAAAAAAATTTAAACTTGCTTGTTGGTGGATCCTCAGACAAAAACAAAATTTAAATTGCTTGTTGGTGGATCCTCTTACAAAAAATATTTAAACTTGCTTGTTGGTGGATCCTCTTACAAAAAATATTTAAACTTGCTTGTTGGTGGATCCTCTTACAAAAAAAATTTAAACTTGCTTGTTGGTGGATCCTCAGACAAAAAAAAAATTTAAACTTGCTTGTTGGTGGATCTTCAGACAAAAAATATTTAAACTTGCTTGTTGGTGGATCCTCAGACAAAAAATATTTAAACTTGCTTGTTGGTGGATCCTCGGACAAAAAAATATTTAAACTCCCAAGCCCGATACATTGATGTTTAGGTTGGTTGAGCCTTTGAAAAAGGTCTTCGGCCCATCAGAGTGAATTTGATTCATTTTCAGACTGCGTCTTTCAATTCATAACTTAAATATTTTGAAGATCCCTGAATGTCACAGCTGCAGCTTCAAAGTTCATTCCCTTTGCCACAGTCAGCCAGCTGTTCTGCAGGTAAAGACTGAGCCAGGTAGTATAAACCCAGTGCTATGAGGTTTATCTTCGTGCCAGTTGGTAATTTTTTTCCCCTGGTATATCTGTGTTGGACTCCTCAATTCCAAGCACTATCCAGCAAAAAACAAGACAAACTAATTGCTGATCTAAGGACCAACATTGGCTTACTCTCCAAGGAAGCAGAACTGGTCTTGCAGTGGATACCAGCCCACTGTGGTATTCAAGGAAATGAGAGAGCAGATGAGTTGGCAAAAGCTGGGAGTAATCTTCCACAACCTCATCCACCACACAGCTACAAAGAAACCAAAACAGCGCTAAAGCAGTCTTTCAAGCGGGAGTGGAGAAGGCAGAATGGAGATTACAGACCAGAGAGTGACAGCATAAACAAACTCAACAGGAAAGAACAAACATCAACTTTTAGACTTCGGACTGGACACTGTGGTCTTCGAGCACACTTATACAGGATAGGTATAAAAGAATCTGCTGCCTGTGATTGTGGAGCAGAAAGACAAACCACTGAGAACATACTACAGTACTGCCCTAACCTCTTCCAGCAAAGACTGTGGATCTGGCCCAAAGGAGCCACATTGCAAGAGAAGTTATGGGGGACCGGTGGCGACCTTAAACGCACAATCCTATTTGTGACCCAGACGGGACTCAATGTTTAGCATGACTGATATCGAACGCAGAAGAAAAGAAGAAGGACTCCTCAATTCAAGCAAGATGAAATAATCAAAAGTGATTGAAGATTATTATGGCCTGGAGAGAATGAGGCACCTGGAGGGAAACCAGAGGGACTGGCCATTTACTACACTCAGGAAAGGCAAGACGGACATATAACCATATTGGGACCTGTACCATCAGTGTTGGAACTCTGCGCTGGCTGATGAAGATGAGGACTGAGCACACATGGGAATGCTCCGAATGCTGTGATGTCAATTCTTGACTCAGCTCAGCTCAACTCAAAAGTGATTGACAAGGTATACACCAAAAGAGGAGAGGGATATAGAGCACTAGGTAGACCGATAAGATGGAATGATGACATCAAACTCTGCAACAGTGCAGTGTGTCTAATAGGGTCAAGGTGACCAGAAGAGCGAAAAGGAGAACCTTCTATCTCCTGCAGTACCTGAAGTGGTTAAATAGTAAGTCCTTCTATCTCCTGCAATACCTGAAGTGGTTAAATAGTAAGTCCTTTTATCTCCTGCAGTACCTGAAGTGGTTAAATAGTAAGTCCTTCTATCTCCTGCAGTACCTGAGGTGGTTAAATAGTAAGTCCATCTATCTCCTGTAGTACCTGAAGTGGTTAAATAGTAAGTCCTTCTATCTCCTGCAATACCTGAAGTGGTTAAATAGTAAGTCCTTTTATCTCCTGCAGTACCTGAAGTGGTTAAATAGTAAGTCCTTCTATCTCCTGCAGTACCTGAGGTGGTTAAATAGTAAGTCCTTCTATCTCCTGCAGTACCTGAAGTGGTTAAATAGTAAGTGAATAAGAAGAAGAAGAATTGACAAGCATGAATATCTAATATTAAAGTAGGGAAAAAACACATTATATATACTAGTTATACTCTCAGTATGGGTTCCAGGGCCCTGTTATAGGGAAACAAGAATAGACCCACTGCCTACCCAAAAGCATGTCGTAAGAGTTGACTAACTGGGAGCTTCCTTCAAAGTCAGAGTGCATCTGCCTGAGAGGCAAGGAACCAGCAGTCTGCATACAGTTGAGTCAGATCTGTAAAAGGAGGCACACGCAACACTCAGGTTCTGGAACAGGACTGCAGTCCAGAAGTGGATGAGCAACCAGAACTTTCCGCCAGAGTTAACAGCCATTAAATGCGAAGAAGAAAAAGATCCCAGATGAGTTGAACATGATATTGTTGATTAATTTACTACTAATACTTCAGACTGGGGAAGATCACCTGATCAAACAAAACAGAAGGTACATTGCCACGCAAGGGCCATTGGTCAGCACGATGCTGGACTTCTATCGCATGATCTGGCAGGAGGGATCCAGGGTCATCATCAATCTTGCAAGGATAACTGAGAGAGGGAAGGTCGGATGACAGCTTGTTATGCTTTTTATGTCTAGTCTGTCTTTTTCTGATGTCTTTGTTGCAAAATAACTGTCATTATTTTTAATTAATTAATCTTCTTCTTTTTTTAGCTTTCACCAGCTGTAAACTTGGGTAGTAATTTCTGGTTATTTATCTGTTTCTGGACATGAGTCTTGTTCGAGAACTTGAATTTTATGTGCACATCTGTTTTACAGATATGACTTACTTGTATACAGACTGTTGGTTCCTCACCTCTCAGGCAGATGCGCTCCGACTTCTGAGGGAAACATCCCTAATTAGTTGCCCTTTACAACATGTTTGTTAGAGAGGCAGTAGGTCAACACCCACCCCCCACCCCCCCCCACCCCCCACCCCTTTTTACCCCCAGGGAAGCAGCTATTTGATAGAAATTAAATTTAATACACATAATGGAATAACCAGAATGTCTTTGCACTGAAACCATTATAGAAAAAAAAAAAAAAGATATATTTTTCCTCTAAGGGAATATTGCCTTTCCATTTTTATTCTCTAAGTATTACCTTTCGTTTGTTATCCTCTGCAAACGTTTTATCTTTCTATTTTATCCTCCTTATGATTGTTACTTTTCCTTTTGTCTGCTCCATCATAATATTGTACTAACAATGTTAATCTATACACTAAATTACCTTTCCATTTTTGTTCACTGCATGAATATTACCTTTCTGTTTTTGTCCTGACTATAGATATATAGATTTTTGACAATGGTATGAGAGTCGAACCATTCAGAAAGGAATGGCAAACTAATAAGCATAAAATTGTCCAGAAATACCACAAGCAGCCTACAAATGCACAGGTTGGTTTGTGACATGCTGTGGAAGATATGCAGCTAACTTCTTTTTTTTTTCTCCCCCCAGGTTCAGATAAATATATACTGGCCCTCATTGGAGGACAGCTCAGAGAAAGTGTTTGTGTTTGAGCGTGCTAGCAAAGATGGTAGCCGGGAGTTTGTATGCCAGTATAGAGTGAGACTGATCAATGAAGCTGGAGATGATGTGCTCGTTCTGAGAGAAATGCTGCTGAGCAAGGAGGATGAAAAAGGAAAGGTAGTGTACTTGAAAGCTTTGTGTCACAAGAGTTGTTGGCATATGAAGCGTTCATAAGGGATCTTCATTGCTGCCAGCATAATGTATAAACAGAAGTCTACCTTGGTAGACCTTAGTCTGTCTAGTGCTGTTTCCCTCTCCTCTTCTGTATATTGTTGCTTTTATGCCCTTTGGTATCCTATGTCATTTCTTATTTTTGTTTTTCTCTTTACATTGTCCTCCTTAAGGTTGTCTACGTCTCCCTGTTCTATCTGCAGGCCACTGGAGAGCTGTCCTTGTCAGTGTGCTATGAGGCATTCAGTAAACATGTCCAAGCATCTCCATCTTCTGCCTTTGAGTTGTAGATGCCTATGAAGGGTTTAAATGGTAAACAAATTTTTCAAGAACCACACCACACACAAAATCAAGAGTGCAAAACTTTTACAGTGCTCAGGGGAAAGATATTTCTTGATGAACTCAGACTAAAATTAAAAGTAAAAAATAAAATAATGTGCATCCTGTGATTTAAAAAAAAGGACTGTCACTAATCAAGTGTCAGTTTAAATTAAAAGGAAGAGTTAACCCTCTTACCCCAGGAACACTAAAACAAATGGGTCATGACCCCATTGACATTTCCAGAAAGGTATCCTTCAAAAACAATTTTACACAGGTCACTAAAATGAAGAAAAAAAATGTATGTACATTATTTAAAAAAAAATTATATATATATATATATATATATATATATATATATATATATATATATATATATATATATATATATATATATATATATATATATATATATATATATATATATAAAAGATACCTAAAGGGAGCAGTCAGTAAACACAAACAGGGTAGAGAATTAAATGTACTACATTCCCCAGGGCCTAAAAATAACATTTGTATCGGGTGACTCATACTGTTACCCAGTGACCTCTGTCACTGAGGCTTACAGGAATATTTTACACCAACTTGACTTTAACAAATTTTTTTATTTGATTCAAAAAAAAAAACTCGCAAATGCTATTTTTGATTAATATATTCTTGTCCTGACCTTCTAAATGTCTATACAGGCAAGAAATCAGCCAATAGCATTAACTATGCATCTTGTAAACAGGCATTTGAACCTGTCTTGAAGTGTTGGTTTTGCGACTTCTGAGGGTGAAAGGATTTGATGAAACATAGAGGAGCCGTATTTGTACAGTATTTAATGAGCTTGCCTGACAAGGCAGTGGTTGGTCATTAATCTTTAGTAGTCGAGGGTTATTTTCCCACCAGTGTGACTCTCACTCATGTATAACTGTGACCTTCAGTAGGTTATGGGGTCATTATCAGACTGGCCATGTTTACTTCCCATGATATTTCCTGAGACAGTTTGAAGCTTCTGTGACCTAGAAAAAATATGTCTGGTGCAGATTCGAACCCAAGATCTTTGCAGCAGCAGAAAAGCATCTAGACCAGTGTTTCCCAACTTTTTGTGTGCCATGCCCCACCTAAGCCTTTCTAAAATTCTTGTGCTCCCTGTGTAATATATATAGTTTTTAATACTGAAACATGTAATTGTTCACTGAAGAATCCTAAATATTAGGTTTTAGGAAGAAATCAACTAGGAAATTGTTACCTTTGCTGGAGACGTTTACCTAGCTCAAGTAGTGACTAAGTGTTGCCATACGATTAACTGGAACTTAAAGGTCCATTTCAAAATTGCCCCCTTAATAATAATCAACCCCCCCCCCGCTCCCCTCACAATAGGGTGTGGGCCGCACATTGGGCAAACTTGATCTAGACATTTTGTAAAGGATCATGAATCAGTTTTTGTTGCACACAGAAATGTCTACAGATGTAGACATACTTCAGTTTCCTGCAGATCTCCCAAGGAGAGTCTCAGCATTTATCGCCAAGTTCAGTTTACCAACATGCATTCAGATGTGTAAATATCCAAATCACATGTGCTGTGAATATTCATTGTGTAGGTTCTCACATTTTCACATTTAGAATAAGCAGCGGATCATTCAACAGAGACGGAGTGTCTTAGGAAAGCTGCTGAAATAAGAGATAAACTTTAAAATAAGGAAATTAAAAGGAGATTACTTAGACTGAAGCCAGTCGTACAATTCAAGTAACCAAGTCGGTCTGAGAGAGTTGTTTTTCCTGAAATTGGCACGTTCTTGATATCCATGATGTCTTTGGCCACTACGCCTATAAAACAGCTTTGATATTGATTGCATTGTCATGGTGTGTAGATATAATAGGTGTGATCTTCTTCTTCTTCTTTTTCTTCTTCTTCACATTCACCAGCTGTAAACTCTGACAGAAAGTTCTAGTTGTTCATCCACTTCTGGACTGCAGTCCTGTCCCAGAACCTGAGTGTTGCATCTGCATCCGTTTTACAAATCTGACTCATTTTTTATGCAGACTGTTGGCAGATGCACTCCAACTGCAAAGGAAGCCCCCAATTAGATGACTCTTACGACATGCTTTTGGGTAGGCAGTGGGTGTATTCTTGTTTTCCTTATAATAGGGCTCAGAACCCACACAGGAAGGGTGTGATGATGTTACCTTTTAAAAACAATTTTGAGATATTATTTGGGTGAAGAATTGAATTTTTGACATTGTGATGTCATCATTACATCATAATGATGTCACTTTGCTCAACATGGCTGTTTCCATGAAAACACTACTATCATGGTCAGAGGGACAGAAAGCAGCCAATTATTTGTTTTGTATAATGATCACTTTCCTCAGTGTAAAAAAACAAAAAACAAAAACCTTTGTGCATAATTTTTTTTAAATGTGATAAATAAATAAATGTATAAGTGACTTTGACTGCTGCAGTGTCGCAGTGGCCATCCCACTTGCCTGCCTGCTCAGTAGTCATTGAATATCCTGGACTTTTATATTTTAGAAAACTGACCAAGACTCTTCTGCTTCTACATAGGATATATAGGATATCTTCTTTTTTCTGTTTTCTCAGGCAGAAAGTTTTTGGTTGTTAGTCCACTTCTGAACTTTGGTTTTGCGTGCATATCCATTTTATAGGTTTGGCTTATTTATTTGCAGATTTTTGGTTCCTCACCTCTCAGGCAGATGCTATCCAATTTCAAAGGGAACTTCCCTAATTTGTCGCCTTGTACGACTTGGGTGGGGGAAGAGGGGGGGGGGGGGGGGGCAGAACCCATATGAGGACTCTTAGGGTAGAGTTTCAGAGTTTTATAAGGATGTATTCCTTTGTAATGAAGTAGTTCAAGTTACAGCTCACCCCATGTCCTCTTCATCTTTTCACTTCAATCTCTTATTTCTCTCCCCATGCATTTTTTGGGGTCTGCCTTTTATTCTTTTCACTTTCCAATTTATCATTTGCAGCCATTGGAAGAGCCGCGCAAGCTGTTCCAGTTCCACTACATGGTGTGGCCTGATTACAATGTGCCGGAGGACCCTGGAACCATGATTGACTTTCTGGAGAGGACCAACAACCTGCTAGATTCTCTTCCTAGTCCTGGACCAGTTATAGTGCACTGCAGGTATTGTTTCACCGTTTTTGTTACACATTTTCAACTGGATGACATACCATTCTAGACTGGATGACATACCATTCCAGGCTAGATGACACATACCACATACCATTCCAGGCTAGGCGAGTCTTACCCTACACCATTCTAGGCTAGAGGACAAACCACACCAGACTGTATGGCACACCATGTTAGATTAAATTGCATACCACCCACCATGTCAGGTTAAATGACATACCACACCAGACTAGATGACACATACCACACACCATATCAAGTTAGATGACAGTCCACACCATGCTAGATAACACATACCACACACCATTCCAGGATTACATAAATGATATACAATATCAGGTTAGATGACATATGCCCCTCACTGTTCTGGGCTGGGTGACATATGACGTGCCACATCAGATGACACATGCCACACAACATACCATATATAAATAACATACCACATACTGTGTCAGGCTAGAGGCACATAGCACTTACCACAAAATACCATGTTAGGCTGGCTTTACAACATACATGTCAGGTTAGGTGACATGCAGCATATCATGTCAGGCTAGATGACACATACCACAAAATACCATGCCAGGCTAGATGACACATACCACAAAATACCATGCCAGGCTAGATGACACATATTTCAAAATACCATGTCACACTAGATGCACATTTAAAAATACTGTTTTAGAGAGGCGCAACAAAGATAAAACAAATCATTCTCATTGTCTCATAATACCATGTATTGTTGGGTCACCAGTTGCTCTGGACTGTCCGGTCAGCTCCCTCCATCTAATATGAGTAATTGTGTCGTATGTGAATATGTATATGTATATATGTGTGTGTGTGGACATGTGTGCGTATGCACATGCATTTACCATCCATGTGTCTTCCTCCTTGATATTCGTATTATGCATATTGTTATATGAACATAACATACTTTATTGATAAAATTCAACTGCTGTGTGAAAGATAAGTGTTTGAAAGAGCCAAATGTAAGACGGGCCTGCATGTCAGATTTGTGTCCCTTTGAAAATACAGTTCATTTATTCGTTCAATCTGTTGGTCAGATGAAGTAGACTTTATGTTTGCATGTTTGAGGCCTGTCCAATTAGCCAAATTCTGTATTCAGGTCTTTCTTGGTTTGCATCTTCTTCTCTTCTCCTGTACAGAACCCTATAGTATTGTTTTAGCGAGGTGGGTAGATCTTGATACATTGCACTTTCTGTCTTTTCACTATTGTTAAAAGAGGTTTATAGCTGCCAGTGTGCTGAGTGATGATACAGTGAACTTCATCATTTATGATTTAGTTTGTATATGATATACTAAAACAGATACAATTTATGTATTCTTTGAAGTAATTTTTACTTATGTTTTTTCTAACTAGTGCAGGTATTGGTCGGACAGGCACTCTGATTGTCATTGATATGATCATCAGCCAAATCAAAACGTATGGTGAGTAAACTGTTGTACAAACCAGTCATCATGTCTCTAGTATGAGTAACTGATTCTTCTTATTATTCCATGTAAAAATACAGGACCTTTCTCTTGTCAACTTTCATCGCAGGGTTCTATCATTTTTTGAATGTTCCAAAAATCAGTCTTGGTGTTTCTGTTTGAGTCATATAGTGTGTCTGTCTGGCCACTGAGTTGCCAAGTAGCTTTCATCAGTAACCATTAAGTGAGCGAGTGAGTGCAGTTGAACCCCACTAGGACCCGCATACTGAGCAATTAACACCGTATGACCCAGAGAGTTCCCATTCAGATGAGAATCCTCAAGGTACAAATCCCAGAAACTCTGTTAAACCGTAATGTTATATTAGGGCCCCTAATGGTTACAAAGTAACCTGAAGTCCATACAGGGTAGACTTTTCTATGCATCACACACCACATTCCATAGTGGCAGAATTACAAGTGAGTTCTTACGATACAGTTGATCATTTTTGTTTTTCTTTAGTTCCGCACAGTTTTCAGCATAGTGTTTACTCATTAGGCCAGTGTTCTCTTCTTAATTTGAGTATTCAAATCAGTATTCAAGTTATACAATGTTGACAAACATGCACACTGAAAACATACTTTAAAACATCAATAAAGAAAAACAGAGATTTGACAGCTCCCAACTGAAATGGAGAAATCTCCACTAAGAAGCATTCTAAAGAAGTAAATGCACACCTAAGCAAAAGGACATTTAAGATTTCTATCAGGAAATAAAGATTGAAAATAATCTTGCTTACCTGGAAAGTGGCTAGGTACTATTGCCAAAAGCTCTGTCCGAAGACTTAGGATTAAGTCCACAGAATCAAATGTGATGATAAACTGCACTTTTGCAACCAGTATCAAGGTCTTGAACAGGCACAGTGAGGATTGAACAGTCCTGAAATATTGACCTTAGAGAGTTAGAACAGACAATAAGGCTGAATCTCAGGGCCAGGTTTCTTAAATCTATCATTTCAAAATTGTCATTTGTATTTTTTAATTCTTAGGTTTTGACTGTGACATTGACATCTTCAACACTATTCTGATGGTGCGAGGTCAGAGGTCAGGGCTGGTACAGACACAGTGCCAATATCAGTTTGTATATCTGGCAGTTGAGAGATATTTGGAAGTGACAAGACAGAGGCACTTTGCTGTACAGGTTAGTATCATTCAGGGTTTAGGCTGCAGAGTTAAATTATGAAACAATTCAACTTTCTGCTGGCTTTAGAACTAGCTGCAAAAATATGATGTGATTGTACTTACTCAGGGTATGCTGAGAAAGATAGAGACAGGCTTGCTTCTTGTAGAGAATTAAGCATCACTTTATAGGTTCCTGTGTTTAGTTAGCATCCTTTGAAAAATTTTTCTTGGATATGCAGATGTGTTAGGAAATTAATATGCAAACTGAATGGTTCTGCTCCACTGATAACAAACTGTTGCATGACAAACTAAATGTGGTCAGGGCCCCTTTGAGAGCAGGAGAACAAAGCAGAGGCATGAATAGATCTTTATGGTGTGAAGAGAATGAAACAGCTAGAAGAAACAAGGATATCTGGTTGACACTGCAGAGAAAAGGCAAGACAGACATAGAATCAAACTGCTGCTGGCACCATAAGAATTGAAACTTTTTGCTGGTTGCTGAAGATGAAGCCAGAGTGCTTATGGGAATGTTCTCAGTGCTGTGGTGTCAGTTCTTTATGCATCTCAGTCCAACTCAGCAGTTAAATCTTTCATCCTTTCTCAGCATGGGCTTCAGACTTTTGTTGAGGGGCCAGTTGCTAGCCTGCCATTGCGATGATCATCTTCTTCTTTTCTTTTTCTTCTTCTTTTTCTTCTTCTTCTTCATCTTCTTCTTTTTCTTCTGTTCTGTTCTGCCTGTCAGCATCAGGTTTTGAAGAAGTATCAGGTGTGAACCTGTATGCTATGTTTATACTGGTATTTACGGCTTCTAATATTTCATATATCCACTTGCATGGTCGACCTCTAACTCTGCTTCATTTATGCCTAAGTAACAGGGCTTTCTGTGGTGCAATGTCTGGTGGCAGCCTTGACATATGTCCAAACCATTTGATCTGTTGTCTTTTGATGCAGTTTAATATCGGTTCTGTCCCAACTTCTTTTCTGATATCGTCATTTCTGACCCTGTCCCTTCTAGTTACATTTCCAGTGATCATGTGTTCAGATCGTCAAGGCAGGAGTTTTATAAACTGCATGTCAGTCCAGCCTAACATGGATATCAGGAGTGTTCTGGCAAGAGATGACTGATGTACCAGTTGGTCTATAAAACATAATGGGTTAGCACTATATATCAGTGAACCAAATAGAAAAGTTCCCTTACTTTCTGTTTAATTTTGTTGATACTACCACCTCTACCACCACCACCACCAAAAACACTACTACTACTGCTACTGCTCCTCCTCCTCCTCCTGCTGCTACTGCTACTTAGGTTTTTTCTTCTGGCGGAAGCACTGGCAACTTTTATTAATCATCATTTTTTTAAATGCTACTGTAGTATACACTTTATGATGAGTACTGGCACCTGTTTAGACACTTTATGGTTAGTATCAGCACCTGTTTTTCTAGAAACAAAGCCTTGTTATTACTACTGCTGCAGTTGTTACTATACTAAAAATACTAATACTGTCTTCTGTTACTACTGCTATTGCCACTGTTGATGATACTACTGCTAATTCTGCTGCTGCTGCTACTACTACTACTACTACTTCTGCTGCTGCTGCTACTACCACTGCTGCTACTGCTACTACTATTATGCTATGGATATCTTTGCTGCTGCTATACTATCAGTTTTTGCTGCTTTTACTAATTTACTGTTACTGCTGCTGTACTACTCATTTTGTGCCTACTTTTACTACCAGTTATTGTGACCACTGTTTCTACAACTTTATGCAAAACATTTACAGGCTTTTTGCCTATTTTCAGGCTGCTGAAGGAGATGAGTATACCAACATCAAGAGTCTCACAGAAGCCAAAAAAGCTCTAGATATGCCATAAGGTGCAGGTGATCTGCCTTCCACCCTGCCTGTATATGCTGATACCAACATAGTGAAGTAAAGCTCCTGCCCAAGCGATTGCTCAAGGCATACCTTTGTGCTTTTGACATAATTATTTTCTCCTTCCTCTTTCTGCTTTCTTGTCTTTCAGCATGGTTAGACCAAGGACAGAAACACTTATAAAAACTATAACACTTATAAAAACTATGCTACAGAGAAGAGTTGCATGCAGTTGAGAAATTGGTAGACAGAGTTACAAATGAATAATATATCTTTACCCAGACATGCTTTCTTGTTTGACTGAATGATATTTCTCAAGAATATGCAGTTGGGCTGGTTTTAAAGACTGGTTTGAATCTGAGGTGGTCATAGCTGACAGAAACCAGTTTTATTTTTTCATGCTGGAGTAAAGGGAGATGAAGAAGCTGATAGGCTTACAGGTGAGGCTAATATGGAGGGCATAAGAGTCATCGATCAGGCTGTTTTACGGAATGCTCTATGACATGTTTGTGTAAATCAAATGATAACTGAATCTGCAACTGTGACCCAACTGCAAAAAACAGCAAGTAAAAAAAAAGGGTGAGATCACACAAGAGTACTATACAAGAAGTCAAAGAATAATAATAAACCAAAACAGAAAAGATGTCATCAGCCACTATACACTGAGGGATAAAAGGAGGAGGAGATTCTGTCATATAGGAATGAATGGTTTGATGTGCAGTGATGAGAATCTGTTGACTCACGACAAATGGGGGGAATAACATCAAGTGATTAGAAAGGATTATCTTCACAGCATTCTGGATAGATTGTAGGAGCTCCCACTCCTTCTCAAAAGCTCCACAAGTGTAAAACGACTTTTGATGCCCATTCTGCTATTCTGTGTTGGTTAATGAGACGTCTTGGCCCCTTAGTGAAATGTTAATTTCTTGCAGCTCCAGGCTGCACCTCCATGTCCATCAGTGTAGTCAGGATATGGAGTCATTTCTTTTGGCTTGCTCCTCAGTACGGTAAGTGCAGCGCATGGCATTGATAACATGAAGAGATGGACAAACAGCAGTCTGAAAGTGCGTGTATTCAGGGTGAGAGGCAGAGTACTAGTATTGGAGGTCCACTGACGCCAGCTTTCACAAAAGATAGTACTTGTTTGATTCATTGTAAAAATGGTACCTGGTTGATTCATTGTATCCTTGTGTGAGTTCCGGGGCCCATTGTTGGGGAAACAAGAATAGACCCAGTGCCTCCCCAACAAGCATGTCTTTGGAGTTGACTAATTAGAGACTTCCTTTGAAGTCGGAATGCATCTGCCCGAGCTGCAAGAAACAACTAGTTGCACACAAATAAGCCAGTGAAACGGGTGTACACGCAAAATTCAGACTGGGGACAAATAAAAAAAAAGAAGAAGATTCATTGAAAAGATGACACTGCATTGCCCTAATGTCATCATACGGTTAGGGTGTGGGTTTAGGTTAGGGTTTGGGTTAGGGTGTGGGTTTGGGTTAGAAGTATGGTTAGGGTTTGGGTTGCTACGTTGAGTTTTTGCGAAGACGAGATGCTGCGACACTAACCGTAACGCTAACCCTAACACTAACCCTAACCCTAAACCTAACCTAAACCCTAACCCTAACCCAAACCCTACTCGTATGATGACAGCAGGTCACTGCACGCTGTCTATCGCCAACACACAGTAATTATGTCATTTGTTACGTTCCCTCTTTTCCACTCCGTAATAGCACTCCAGCCAGGGGGCAGAACTCCGACTAACCAGCCGCCAACTGTTGTCTTCCGGCCGTAGTTTATAGGAGAGCCATTTATTGTAAAGGTGGCATCTAATTGATTCATTGTAAAGATAGCACCTAACTGATTCATTAAAATGGTGATACATAACTGTTTCATTATTCTGCTGTCTTTGGAAATATTACCTGGTTAAGCCCCAGTCTCTTCCACAGTGCAACTCTTGTACCACTGCCGGAGAACCACAAGCATGTTTTTTTTTTATAAACCATCTACAGCTGAAATAGAATCCTAGTACTCAGTACTCCTGGTGTGATGCTGACCACATCACCCATCTTGTGCTGATTGGTCTAAAAAAATATAGGTCTAGCCATATATGCCCTATACGCCTACAGGCGTGGAAAAGGGACCTTTACTTTTACTTACTTAGTACTCATTAAACTGTTAAATGCATTCTCTAACCTCTAAACCAGTGTTCTTCAACCCATCGGCCACAGCCTACAGATGGGCCACAGAGAAGTCAAGGTTGGCTTCCCAACATTTCAGCCTAATCCCATAACGGCGTAGGGAAGTTTTTCTGTTCCAAGAGCGACTAGTTACCAGGGCATCTGGACGACACTCAACACTCCAGGAAAAGATGAGACGGATATACAATCAGACAGTTGCAGATGGCATCAGAAATAGAACTCTTCACTTGCTGCTGAAGATGAGGATGAAGAGTGCTGTGATGTTGATTCTTAATTCAACATTCAGTGTTCTCTTCCAAGATTAAGGCTGTAGGATTAACACCTCAAGAATGAGAATCAAACTAATACAGATTCCAGAAGTCCTGTTCGACCGCATCAAACAGTTTATGCTGGGACAATTTGGAGCATACGCTAACCAGTATGCAGCAGCAGCAGCTGAAAATTGAGATTTTATGACATCAGATTTAACACACAAAAACTGCTATATACGCTTATTTTTTGTTTCTGCATTTAGTTAGCAGTCAGCTGGACCACAAAACAATATCCCCTGTTTTGGTAGGCCACGGGTGTAGAAAGGTTGAAGAACACTGCTCTAAACCACAGACACTAAAGATTCTATTGTAGATTTATTCTTGATACATTCTGTGCTCCTAATGGGATGCAGTGAAATTTGCTGGGCAGTCTGTTCATGTCTTTGTTCTCATTTACACAAGGAAACTGTGGCTTTGAAATGTAATAAAATATGCTTTGTCTTAAATTCTTGGTTAACTTTGGTTTGTTTTGTTTTTGATCTGGTGGTATTCAGTTGTTATTTTTTAAATACTGATGTGTTTATCATAGCATATTGCATTTGTTTCATTTGTGCTGTCTCCACAATGGAAGCTGGTTGTGTTGGTTCATTCCTTGGTTGGAGAAAAAAAAATTATACCACTATCAGCTTTTTAGGTGCCTTTGGTTATAAGGAGCTGGTTAAACGAGGTTACATTTGTCCTCTTTTTCAACCAACAAATGCAGCCAAGCTCCATTGTGGAAGTTGGCTGAAATGTATCCACTGATATTAGTGGGAATATTGCACAGTGAAAACCCATCTCTTCTGTGGTGTGACTGAATTGCTGCCCACTGTCTGAAAGCTACAAAAACAGTATTTTTCTAAACTGCCTGCCATGGGAATTGATGGTAAGACCAAGAGAGAGATGGATCCAGGCCACCCTAGAACTCAAGACAAATACAGATAACCATGACGCTGGGCTACAACCTGGTATCAGTGAGATGACAATGGAAGATGAAGAAGAAGCATCAGCATCTGAAAGGAGCTGTTATACTCTAAACACTTCTTTACGTCCTCTTTTACCGCTTTGGGTGTCGAGGGAGATATAACGTCCTGAACACTTTACATCACAGTTATAATAATCCTGAGGCTTAAACGGGATTTCTGTTGTAGTTGAAAATTACTGTTATTACACATTCTCTTGTATGATCTGTATTTTAAACCTCGGCAGTTTCAAGTTGCCACCATGAATCCAGTCATCAGTGAGGCCACCACACAGTTTCTCTTCAGCTTCCATCTCTTGGACACGAAGATGAAGCATTAGCATCTATAAGGAACAATAATACTCTGAACAGTTTACATCCCCAGTTATAACCCTAAGGCTTGAACGAGATTTCCGTTGTTGAATTTTACTACTCTTCATGTATGACCTGTATTTTAAGCCTTTATGAATCCAGTTTTCAGTGGTCCCTGCAGTTTCTCTCCTGCCTTCATCTCTTGGGGCTTAGTGTGAGTTCTCGAGTCACCTATGAGAGGGCAGACTGCAGGGCAAGGAGGAACAGCTGTATCAGAAATAACTGACAAACATGAGACAGATCTTGGGGTCGGCATGCTTAATAATGCTGTATAGTGTAGACTATTTACTAGTTGCAAATTGTGAAGGCCAGAGATGTGTACTTAAGTGGGGGCTGTAGTAGTGTAGTGGCTAGATGCTTACCTTCCCCAAGTGGGTTTAGGGGTTCTATTCTGGAGAACAAAGAATAGACACACTGATTTACAGGTATGTCCTAGGAGGTTACTAATTAAATATGTTTCATTCAAAGTCGAAGTACATCAGCCTGAAAAGCAAGGAACTGTCAACAGATCTGTAAAAAGGTGTGCACGTAAAACTCAAGTTCTGGATCGAGATCAGGGTCCAGGAATGGACGATTAACCAGAATTTTCCCACCGAGTTTACAGCCTGTGAACGCTAAGAAGAAGATGTTAATTAGCAGGCCCAAAGGTTTTACATTCAAATCCACACCAGGATTTTGTATTTGTAAAGAAAGCCTCCAGGTTCCAGTGCCTGTGAAGGTTCCAGAAAGATTGGAGAAGTAAAGAACAGTAGACAAGGAAGAAAACACAGGCACACATAATTCGAACATAGTGCTGGAACCTGGTGTAGATTTTGAACATTGGAATCGTCATGGACCAGAAGCCCGAGCCTTTTGTTCTAAAAAAGTTGATTTGATTTGATTCAAGAACCGACATCACAGCACTCGGGGCATTCCCATAAGCGCTCCGTCCCCATCTTCATCAGCCAGTGCAGAGTTGCAATACTAATGGTGCCAGTAGCATTCAGATTAAACGCCCATCTTGCCTTTCCTCTGAACCTCGAGCATATGCCAGAACCCCTCGTCACTCACCGCTGCATCAATCTCACTAGACTGTGGTGATTCATCTGCTCCTCCGAACTGTACACGCTCTCCCACAAAGCACTAACCTCGTCCTCAGTCTACACAAAAAGGCGGGGGAGGG